GGGGGGGGGGGGGGGGGGGAGTTTCAGCTTCTTCAAAAGAATAAAAATGAATAATAAATAAATACAATAAATTTCAAATATAAATACAGCACTCTAAATATGTCTCCAGAGGCAGGCGATGTCCCTTTTTAAAGATAAATGAGTGTTTTGAAGGTTCACAAATTCCTGTCACTGTGCTTTCTCTGCTTAATGATGCACATCTTAGAAATAATAATACTGTGCAGTCAGGCTACAACTACAGTGTCTTAGGACTATATGTCTCCACTAGTATTTGTGTGTTGTCTATACTTTGATTAGTGTTTAAAGGTTGAATTCAACAATTTTTCACCCTGTAAATATCCCACTCACATTACAGAGAATATGAACTTAGGTGGACACCTGTTTTGCCTTCTTGATTTTAATGTAAGAAAACTAAAAAAATATACACAACCGGCTTATATGTCAGCATTTCATTCATTCACAACTAAACATAAGCAGTATTCACAAAGCCCTCACTCTCTGATAAACAACTTCGTCCTGCATTAGAACGGTTAAAACAACCAAAGAGCTGATAGAATTTGTCATAAAAGAAGCCTTTTTAAGTCTGTATGGCTGTTAAAAAAATAAATACATAATACATGTATAAAAAGTTTCTAAAATTATCAGGAAAACTCTGATCAACATTCACAGGAAATAATCTGCTAAAAATTCCTTCAAACCAGTCGTTTCACACAAACTTCCTGGTACTATGTTAAATATTTGGGTTCATTGTACAGTTTATCAGATGTTATTGTTATTGTTCCCCTTAGTATGATATGAATCACTTAGTCAGGGGTCGTCAGTTTACTCAATGATAGAAAAGGGTCCCTTAAGGTAAAAAGGTTCGGAACCGCTGCATTAGACTGCACTACCTGTGTGGATTAGCTTAGCAGGTACAAACAGGTGCATTTGCTTGATAAATTGGTACTGTACAGATCCACCTGATCTGTACAAACACACAACTTAAGCTGTGTCTTTTCTTCAGTGTTGGTGCAAGCAGCTCTGTTTGGATGTATAAAAACAAAAAAATAAAAATAGCATTGGACGTCTGACACCTCCACACCCACTGTAACAGTACTGCTGGTAGAAAAATAAGACCCACAGAAGTTAAGTACAGTACAATGAAGAGAAAAGTTCAATACACGGAGGCCCTCGGGGTATCTGACTAGAGTTGGAAACATCCTCAACATCTCAAAAATACACTTCTCTATTTTTGATGACACTGAAGCTTCAGTGATTTCATGGCTTAGAGGTAGGGTAGGTAACGTTAGAGAAACTAACAGCTAGATTTTGAAAGTATCCAACGGAAAAAAATCCCACCTCGTCCCTTCAGGTCTCCCTCCAAAGTCACTCCCCCAACACACATAAACACACAGTGTGGAGCATTAGTGCACCTTTGTCATCACTGTATCTAACTATCTCATGTCTCATTCAGCTCTACAAACTACAGAGTTCAGGAAAATAACTAATCCCACCCAAAACAAACCAGATAATTAATTGTCCTTCAGTTCTCGCTGTTGTTTAAAAGCCACACTGATGTCGACTCTGGTCACACTTTTTGTTCGTAGCCTTTTCTGCTTCTGTGTTTCTTTTTCTTCACCAGTGTCTCAGTTTATGAGGTCCGTTTAGTCTGTGCAGTCTCATTCTGCTTAATTTAAGTTAGTTAAGTTTTGTTTAGTTGACCTCTTTAATGGGCCTTTATTGAACATTTAGTAAATTGGTTGTTTAATTTCTTTGGGAAATAAAAATCCTTTTTCCCCCCGAAAATGTACCTCTGACTCCTCGTGCCTGCAAGCTCGGTTCCTCACAATGGGCGAAGTGCTCAGAATAAAATGACTGGCTGGCCTTATTACAGATGCCAATTATTATTTTTTTTATTTAATTTATTGATTGCTGATGGGATGTAAAGATAATTTCAACCACTATAATAAAAATGCTTCTGAAATACATTAACTACCCTAGCTTTAATATACAGTATAAATACGATGATCAGCAATAACATTAAGAGCATTGACAGGTGATATAAATAACACTGATTATCCGGTTATCATGGCACCTGTCAGTGGTTGGGATACATTAGGCAGCAAGTGAACTTTTTGACCTCAAGTTGATGTGTTAGAAGCAGAAAAAATGGACAATGTGAGGATCTGAGCGACTTTGACAAGGGACAAATTGTGATGGCTAGACGACTGGGTCAGAGCCCATTCTTCCAGAACTGCAAGGTTTGGTGGGGTGTTCCCGTTTGCAGGTGGCGTACCATCAAAAAGTGTTCCAAGGAAGGAAAAGCAGTTGAACCGGAGATAGGGTCATGGGTGGCCATGGCTCACTGATGCACATGGGAAGCGAAGGCTGGCCCGTGTGGTCCGATCCAACATACATACATATATTTATATATATATATATTTACTGGGCACATTTCTTTCCTCATGCTATTTGCTCTACTTTTATTTTAAATTTAAGACCCTCACTGTCAGGGAAATATATTTAGTGATTAAATATTGAATGTGAGTGAGATGTCTTATTTTATAATCCCTCCAAGTGGATAGGAGTGGGGGCTTCACAAAGAGGAAGCACAGAGAGAGTACAGGGGCAATGGGAGGAGAACAACAGCTGAGCAAAGAAGAGGGAAGGAGGCAGTAATAAAGGACAAAAGGAGGATCAGCAGTAAAGCGTCCACAGACATTAGTTTACTTTCATCCCAGCAGGAGGCGGATAGATATTAAGAAAGGCTCTATCACAGCCACCACTTCCTCAATAAGTACACTTACCCAAGTACACTTACCCTGCTGCCCACCAAACAGATTTATCACATCGTGACAAAAATATAAATGTGCACACACAGGCACATGTAAACAAAGACAAGAATAAGACTGCATAGGCAGCAAGCACCCACCTGTAAAAGCTTAATCTCAACCTGAAGAGATCTTTACAGTACATAAAGCTACTGAGTTAAGTTTAGGCCAGGCTTCCTTCTTATGCACCACACTGGTTTCAAAAACACAATGTTCCCCTGATCCTGAATGCTCCTGGTTTTGCCTCAAGGTATCTTGGCTTTATGCACAGTTGTGACTCATCTCGCAACATTACATACATAAGCTCTTATGTGCACCAAGCCTTGCGCACACACGGATTACAATTACCTTGAACAGTTTCCTGATGATACTCGATGTCTGATTTCAGCCTACTTCACTGCCTTCTAAATCATTCTCCCTCTTTTTTTTTGCAGTCTTGCCTCCTGTCTCCATCATTCTTTCTTCTCCTCTCCCTCATTTTAATGTGCATTACAAAATGAGTCGCAGCACCTCCAGTGCAGCCACCCAGAAAGAGACAGCTTCCCCCAGTGGGCATAAGTAAGCTCTGCGCTAAGGGAAACACACTGTAAACACGCAAAGACACACAATTATAAAGGGAACACGTAAAAAGGAAACACACACACACACACACACACACACACACACACTCTGTGTTACAGGCGTATGTACGCTGTGTGTGTGTGTGTGTGTGTTCAGCCGCACATACTCACAAAAATTGCTACTGGGCAAATGAACGAGCAAATCCCCCATCTGTAGATGTATCCCTGACAGTGTAGCAAAGCAGATGCACAGACTTGACATGACTTGGAAATGGCATTCATCCAGCTCTCTCTCTCTCTCCTCTCTCACTCACACACACACACACACACACACACACACACATACAAGTAGTCACCCAACCGTTCAAAAACCACCAGAGGAAGCCGTAATACATGACTCGGTGCAAAAGAGTTATTTTGTTTACTTAAGCTGCGTGTAAGAGCATCACCTGACACACCTGATCCATCAAGTAAAGATATCTACACAGTAGCACGAGACGGCAGCTTAAATTTAGAAATACTAAAATAGCTCTACGGAAACATGTTCCCATTTTTGTTCCCCAAGCACCTGTACTTGTCTCGCAGATGCAAAATGTTTCACGGCCACAGCGCTTCGAAACACTCACCTTCATAGGTTCCACTCTCTAGCAGGGCTCCACTTTGCTCCAGTTCCATAAAACGCTCCACACTCACAAAGTTGTAGTCCACCCCCGGCACCTCCCCCTCCTTAGGCTGCCTGGTGGTACCTGCAGAGAGAGAGCGGGAGGAAGAGAAAAAGAGAGAGTCAGAGGCCATCAGAGCCAAATAGGGCACTTGAGAAGAAAAGGCAGGAAGGCAGAGAAAGAGCCCAGAAAAAGGGCCGGACAGAAAAAGACGGCAGATTTGAGGCTACAAAGTGTATCAGAGGAAGTGGGAGGGGAAAGGAAATGGAACAGAAGAGGCTGAGTGAGGAGTCATCACTTGTGATAGCCAAATCCATTCACACAATTGTGTGTGAGTGACAGTAAGAGACAGAGAGAGGGAGACAGCTCGACAGAAGCAGGGAAAGTATGTTCAAACAGCAAACTGCCATTATTCAGCCCCTACAAGCCAATCCGGTGCTGTTTTAGTAATGAGCGAATCAATATGCCACTTTTACCAAGCATAACTCAAACCTCCTTACACAGCACACAATACTGTGCCGATTGGATTATTGTCGAAACAGCAGGAATGCAGAGGCACCACATTACCATGCAGCAATTAGAGCCTTCCTGCATCAACGCTCTGGAGATCTCCATCAGTGCTGCAGCGCTGAGGCTCGGCTGTGTGATGGCAGCGATGGGAGTTTCGAGTTTAATGAGGTGCTGTGTTTATGTCTCTGCCAAGTGGACTTTCAGCTTAGGCTCAGTGAAGTCCGCTGGTGTTGATTCCTGCTCTCCATTGATCATGCCTGGAAAACAGTCATTGGCCGGGCGTGGGGAGGGAGTCCACTCTCAGAGCTTTTTCCCAGGATTCACATGGTAGAAGCTAAGTCGGATTGATCCGGCTGTGGCTTCAACCAGATCTGACATTCTGGCCGTGCAGTTGCCAGAATGTCAGAAGATTTACGCTCCAACGGTCCAACTGTACAAGTCTGAAAAGGCAATCAGCAGTTCTGGAAAGGTTGTGGGAAGCTAAAAAAACACTACATGGGCTGAGGTATGAATTGGTGGGTACATACACACCACACACTTTTAAAGAAATGTCCTTATTTGTGTACTCGCATTAAATTATTATAGAACACTCAAGCAATAACAATAAAAACAATGATAATAATAATTGTTAATAATAAATCAACAAACGCCATCAGTTTGCAGAAGCTTTCTCCTTCCACAAAACTTTTACAAAGAAAAGGAAATATGCACTGTTTTGGACGGTTTATACCCAACCAGAAATAGAAAAGGATTCTATAATTTGATAAAGAAAGTATAAGAGAAAATATATTTTTTAGATTTTTGTCTGAGAAATAAAGCCAAAAATAAAGTCACAATTTTTATTCAATCTCATTTTGTTATAAAAAAATCATGAGAAAATAATATCATCAAATCGAATCATGAGTTGAGTGTATCGCTACATCCCTGCTGGTCGCCAATGTGCCTTTAACATGAGATCGAGTGACGTGTAACTGAAACGTTGAACTTCATCATATACATCATTATATCTTTAGAATAACGTTCACGCTGAACGAATCCTGGCGTCCAAATGGGATACTCATGCTCATCACTTCCTAGTATCATAATTGAAGCTGTGGAAGATTAAAACAGCAGGAGGTGGATGTGTTGTTGACACACATTTTACGCACACACACACGCGGAGTGAGTGGGGGTTAGTCATCTCGTGGAGTGTAAGATCCTCTAACTCTCCCAGAGTGTGAAATCTTAATCATTAGATCTCTATTGATCGTCTGTCACCACTTTGGTCCTGCAGTGCACCCGCTGAACATTCTGTACTGTATTTACTTCACCACCGGGAGCAAAGATGGCCGCTTAGCAACGCCTAATGGCAAAGAAAGTGATACCAGCCCATCAGCCATGTATAGTTATAAGACTGTCCAACACTGGTCATACGTGGTACATGGGTGTGTTTGTTGGTACTTATCTCTGTCAGTGTGTCTCTATATGTGTGTTTGTTTTTGTGACTCTAAATGGTGGTAAAGTGCCCACTGTGCCAACAGTAATCCTGTCTCCAAGCTGATCACAGCTCAGTAGGACACTGTAAATCCACAACACCACAGGTAGGAGTGTGTGTGAGTGAGAGAGAGAGGGAGAGTGTGCCACAATCCACATTGTTCAATGTACTCCGACCCTGTCAGTACTTCAGCACAGAATCAAGTTCAATATATTTTGAATAGCTGCAGCGCTCATAAAGAGTTGTATACTACACGACCGTATAGTTGATTCAGTTGCTTTACGCTGCTGTCTGACAGGTGTTACTCAAGTGACTGTGTGTAATGTCCCATGTGATAACAGGATGCTTTTATATTAATATCCACCACTGTTGATATTGTTTTTGTACATAAGGTGTTAATCCTACAGATGGGCTGTGTTTCTGACCTGTGAAGCAGAAGTAGTGTATGAATGTAGATCAGTGATACTGATATTTGGCAGTGTTGGACATGATTACAAACTGACTGTTAGCCACTAAAAACAAAACAAAACAAGAAGAGCTAGACAGCTTTTTTCTATCGCAGCTATAACAGGTAGCCTAGCTGTGTTTTGTTTAGAGTTGAAACCATTAGTAGTACAACCTTTTTGATAATTGATTTAGCGTTTCTGTCATTTATCAGGCAAAACTAATAATAAAATAAATAAATAAAAAGTGCTACAATCTCAAGTTGCTGCTGGTTGTGAGGATTTGTTGCTTATCTTTGTCATATTTCAGAGTAAACTGAATGCCTTCGGGTTTTGGACATATGGCTAGACAAAATTCGATATTTGAGGATGTCACCCTGGTCTCTTAGAAGTTGTGATCACCGTTTTTTCCCCACTAAAATATTAATTGAATAATCGAAAAAATCGTTCACTGCAGCCCTAATTTTCTTTTCATACAGGTGTCCTATTGATGTGTGAAATCTCATTTGATTCTTCTACATTTGTAATTCAAGTAAAGCATTTTTAGTACCTGGCCATGTTTACCTAAGAGTGCATCTATTCATTCTTTCAGCAGAAAAGCAAACCTGACCTTACACCTAAACTGCTGCCCTGAAAACAACCATGGAAGTTAATCAACACATACATTTTTTATTTTTTTTCCCCGAGTTTCAGAAGTATTGATTTAACTCCAAGGTATTTGTGAGTTTTTAGTTTGTGTGTTGATATACTGGATTGCATTATATCATAAGGAGTAATAAATATCTTCCCCACCCCCTGAGTTGACTCATCAGTTCTCTGACTCAGCCTATACAAACATTTTACATTTTCAGCTTCTCAAACATAGCATATATTTAACGGCTATTTGATCAGATTGCATTATGTCATCAGGTGTTTCTGATACTTTGTCCACCCCCTTAATATAGGCTGCATTCAAAATGAAGGCACAAGTGACCCAGATCTGCTTTTTTATAAATCATATGTGACTCAAATCCAATGAAATCTGATCTTTTCCCACTTTCATATGTGGTCCAAATCAGATACAAGTCTGTGTGAACAGCAATATCAGAATTCATGTGACTTTTGTGTCACTTCAGATTTATGCCAAATTTAACAAATAATGTGAACAGCAAACAAAACAAATCAGATTTTGTATGTATTTGTCATTTTGTTGTTTTTTAAAACACAACAACAACAAGAAAGATAACAACAAACAATGACAGCACTGACATTAAAGTTAAAAAAAAGACATAAGGCAAAGAAGATATAGCCTAAATTGATGACTAATAATATCTAGCTCTGGTCCGCACTGGGGCTTGCAGTGTGAACGTAGCCACAGATATATTCAGCCTTGCAAAGTTCCACAATACTCCCATCCTCTTACATCCACTAAAAGAAATACCGATGTGAAGAAGCTTCCCAAACTGTCCCATCGGGGCTCCCTCCATGAACTACACTGAATGTTAAACAAAAAAATTAATCTTGAGGAGGACTATTCATCGAATGAACGAGTGCTACTCTGAATACCGCAGCAGTTCAGCCAACCAGGCGGGGCCGGTCGCCTTCCACTGGGTACAACTATCTATAAGATCAGAATGAAATTATTCTGCTGCCCACACCACAGTAGGCAGAGCCTGCTGGAATACTGATGACCTGCCAATGGTCTTCTCCCACAGCTTCCTTCACTGGACACACCAGCAGAGCAGAGCAGAGAGAGAGGGGGGGGGAAGAGAGAGCATCTTGTTGGATCTGAGCTGGAAATATTGATCGACTATCTGGCTTTGAGATAGGCAGATAGTCCCAACTGTTCCTCCTTTATTCCTTCCTTCCTTTTTCACACATTTCTACTTAGAGCCTAAGCACATTACCAGTTTTTTCTTCCCTCGCTCTCACTCCTCCCTTCCTCTTAGCAACACCCACTAAATAAGTGTGAAGTAGTTTTTTTTATTAAAAGGAACACGGTCCCCAGCAAAATCCATACTCTGCCCCCATTCTACCTTTCTTTCTTCATCTATATTTAACCTTACCAACTTACTTTTTCTTATCCTCAAAAACTCCCAGGTAGAGGCCAAAAATGATAAAAATACAATCCATAATTTATGGAGCTTTGTGGATTAAGGCTGAAATGTCTTCAGTTCAGTTCAGTTCAGTGGATTTTCTCTTTGTATTTTTTGTACAAACTCTAGAGCAACTAGAGCTTTCATAAATGAGCTGAACAAAGCAGGACAAGCTCACAGGTGCTCAAATTAAAAAAATGGCAGCAGACTATACTGCGAGGAGGCAGCGACGCTTCCCCTGAGCCAAAAGCACTGCTGCTGTTGACTATTGATTGGATGTCGTGCTCTCGCTAATAAAGGATAAAGTCGGCTGTGAGCCAAAAATGGTCTTTGCATTGCAATCAGCCAGTGTAGCCAAACCTCTCAGAGGTGACGCTGCGAGTAGGAGTATGAACGCCATAGAGATTTATGGCTTAAATGCCTTAAATCTATAATAGCACAGAAAAGCTTTGGAGCTGCCACTTTAGGGGGTGAAGACATTCTCTGCCTCAAACCATGACGACTGAGCTCTACAGAATATTTTCACATTGGTGGGAGGGTGTGTGAGAGAGGAAAGAGAGAAAGAGATTACGTAGAAACATA